GAAGACAAGTTATAGCTTATGGGAGGAAGATTTGGTCTAGCTTGATGTTTACTTCAACTTTGTGTACCTTTCCCTAGCCTTTTTAATAATTACTCTTCCATCTGTAATTAATACCTCTTTGGAGCAATCTTTTGTAACCTCCAGGCTCCATAGGACTTGGGAAGTGCTATCTTAGTTCCTCTTGTACTTCCATTTAACCAATGAGAAGTTATCCGTTATAAAGGATCATCCAATTATACTTTCATCTTTAGCTGTTTCTACTAGCTAGAGTTTAAATTATAATTTTTATTGAAACCTGCAGGAAGAAACTATCTAGCATGGAGAAAGAGCGGCAGGATTTTCAATCAACTATTGATGCTCTACAGGAAGGTAAGCATAATGATATTGCATTCAAATTAGTCAGGTGATATGAATTTCCCCCATCCTTCAATGGTGGTGGTCAGATTGTCGATCGAATAGCAATCCTAGTATTCTCAAATATATAATACCTACCCAGACTCCTAGTCCTTGCAGTCGAAGAGGCACTTTGAGTTTTTTGAGATGTGAAACCCTGGACAGACTCGCTGGTGTCATGCCCCACTTGGATCGGGGGGATATAGCTCAGTAGTCGTTGCCAATACATTTTCTTGACTCTGCATTTACTTTGATTGTGCCCTTTGACCTATGAAGTTTTATAATTAAAAATCAGTTTCTCCATGAAGTGTAGTGCTTCAGAAAAGGTAGTTCTCTAAAAAATGTTGTTAAGATGTTTCTTGGATTACTACATTGCAATTAGATATACATTACTTTCAAACCGTGGAAGTGTTTGACATTCTCTTTCCTGGTTGATTTTTCTGCGTGGATGAGGTTGTTGAAGTTGCTCCAATTCTGATTTCTTTATACAAATAAAGTCAAATGGAAACATAATGGTTCTAGAACATAACTGCCTGTTATATTCTTTTAGAAATGATAACAGATAGATTGCACAACGGTTTTGTCGATTGCCTCTGTATTATATTTTATCATTTTTCCTCCTTATCTTGAATGCTCTGAAGTGATGATATTGTTCTTTGACACACTTCTGGAAGACCCTTCCATCTCTTAATGTCAATAACGTCATATTTATCTGTCATTCGTCCATTTACTTTGACACATTGCAATTAGATATACATTACTTTCAAACCGTGGAAGTGTTTGACATTCTCTTTCCTGGTTGATTTTTCTGCGTGGATGAGGTTGTTGAAGTTGCTCCAATTCTGATTTCTTTATACAAATCAAGTCAAATGGAAACACAATGGTTCTAGAAAATAACTGCCTGTTATATTCTTTTAGAAATGATAACAGATAGATTGCACAACGGTTTTGTCGATTGCCTCTGTATTATATTTTATCATTTTTCCTCCTTATCTTGAACGCTCTGAAGTGATGATATTGTTCTTTGACACACTTCTGGAAGACCCTTCCATCTCTTAATGTCAATAACGTCATATTTATCTGTCATTCGTCCATTTCTTTGTAACAGAGAAGAAGTTGTTGCAGTCTAAGCTACGCAAAGCTTCTACGAGCGGAAAGTCTATTGATATTAACAATATAACTAATAGAAAAGACATGGCGACATCTACTGAAGATTTAGGTGACCCCCTTTTCATATCTTTGGCATAACTTTACTTCACCCCTTCTTTTTCCAAGATTTTATGACTGTCAGTAACTTTCCTTTCTTTTTTGTAATCATTATTAAATTCATGCAGAAAATACAGATACTACCCCTGGTACTTCTAACCATGAAGTAAAAGATGTAGGCTCTCTTATTGAAGATGATACTGCTGGAGCTCCCATGCTGCTTGAAAATGCCACTACAGAAGTTTCATCGGTTATTATCCCTCCTGATCATATGAGGATGATTCAAAACATCAATGCCCTAATAGCTGAGGTAGCATCCGTAAATTAATTCTTTTTTTTTCTTTTTTACAAACAAGACAAAATATAATTGCTTTTTCCAGGATTTAATAATTCACTGTAGAAGTGGTAAGACTTATCCTGTGGGTCTTCCACTATCTTTATATTGATTTCCCTCTTCTTATGTAATTAATTTATCCACCATTTCGGGGGTCTTGTTCCTGATTGTTTTTTGTTTAGGTTTTAATTAAGATGCAGTCATTGGAGTAAGTAATTTAATATTTTCACGGATAAAATGATTTCTCCACCTTTATTTCCTATCTTTTTTATCCTCCTTCCTTTCTTCTCATCAGCCTCCACTGGTCAATTCATTTTGTCTAATATATTCTCCCTTTTCAGTTTTGTTTGTTCTTATCATTGCTTATGGCAGATCTTTTTGCTATCTTTTCTCTCAATTTTATGATGGTTCGTTTACTATCCACCTAAAAGAAGGAATACGTTATTTGATGTATCCAATGTTCTTGACTTGTGTTGATGGATTTTACTGATTTGCAGTTGACTGTAGAGAAAGAGGAGTTAACACAAGCTTTGGCATCCGAGTTAGCTAGCAGTTCTAAGTTGAAGGTAATTTTTTTGTCCAATCTGAATATTCTACACACTGTCACTTCTTTTATTTGTTTCATAATGAACCAGATTTTCTTTTTTGATCCTCATTTGTGATTCTATCTCTGCTTAGCAAGTTATTTGACTATTAAATTTTGCTATATATATGCTCACCATAATAACTGATGCCCTACCTATATAAATGCGATTGGCTGGAGATTTAAGCTTGTATCACTGACTTGTTTTTTAATGAGAAATGGGAAGATATGTATTAAAGACAAAAAAGGGGACAACTTAGGGGCGGGGTAAAGGGAACCCCACCCAAGGGCTACACAAGCAACGCTTTTCAATCATTTATAATCATTAGGAGGCTATATATATCACTTCACTGACTCGTTAGTAAAATATTTCCACCTAGCATATTAAGGAACTGACTTTTAGATTGCTCATTATCGTTCCTCCAAATAAATTAACCTAAGTCTTTTATGTTTATCCATCTGTTTGTTTATTTATGAAGGAGTTGAACAAAGAGTTGACTCGGAAACTTGAAGCGCAAACCCAAAGATTAGAGCTTTTGACTGCTCAAAGTATGGCTGGTGAGGTTATTCCTGTGAGGCAACCTGACTCTCGCACAGTTCATGATGATGATATTGTACTTGCAGATGAAGGTGATGAGGTATTGTCATCTTTCATCAAGTCTCTCTCTTAGTCTGTCATGTGTGCTTGTGAGTGCACTTGTCCTTTTCGGGCCGGGGGGATTAAGTACAATATATGCTTCTCTTCCGTATTCTGGTAGTTTTTTTTTTTAATTATGAAAAACCATACTTTCATAGAGCAAATGAAAGGATATACAACGGGAAATACAGAAACTAATGAGCAAAGTGAAGTTTAGGGTATGGTTTGATTTTACTTTTTGGTTTTGCAACCGCATATGGAATTACTTTAGTCAGATATGCAAATTTTCTCATTGTTAGGTGGTTGAAAGAGTCTTGGGATGGATTATGAAACTCTTTCCCGGTGGCCCGTCGCGCCGAAGGACCAGCAAGCTTCTTTGAGGAATGTGGTCTGATTATCAGTGGAAGGCCAATGCCTGAAGCTTCCATTGTTCTCTCCTTCAAGTTTCTAGGTAATATATTGGAGATCATAAGTTGTACATTTCGAGTCGAATGCGTGGTTCATTATTCTTTTTTATATATCAAAGAAGCAGGCTAACCTTGACCCTTTGAGGCCTTTGATAGCCTTAGGAAATCCCAAATTGTTATTTTGCTCAAGGAAGATGGATAGAAAAAGAGAAAAGAAAGTGAAAGCATCTGGTTTCTACAATTGCTTCATCTTTGCCTTTGGCTTCACAAATTTTGGTGGGAGTGTTGGTTGATATTTTTAGACAGGAAAGGAAGTAATTAGTATTAACAGGCTTTGAGATGTATTTTTGTTTGTTATTCTGCACTTCATTACATTACCTACATTGTTTCTGTAACCATCATGAGAATCTTGAAGGGATTGAGTTGGGCCCATTGATGAAATCCTCACATTATTTTTCAATTGTCTTCTGTGTCATTTGTCTCTAGGTTTAACATTGGTTATTATTGGGTATACATTACACAAATATATATTCTCTATCAATAAAATTACAAAAATTAAAAAATTAAAAATTATAATATTGGGGAAAGTATTATACCACTTAAAAGGGATCCTATGTTTTGATGTTGGAAGTTCACCAGCTTCGCGTCTCGTATGTGTTGACTTGATTTCGTGTTGAACTAAGGAGGCATTCTTGCAAGATTTCAAAGCATTCTTTATATACTTGGTATTGGTCCTAATTTACAAGAATTTTTTGTAGTCTTAGTAAGAGGAACAAATTTGCTGTCGTATGACTAATTGGTGATTACTAGCGATTTTGGTATCATGCAAGTGAGTTTCAGTAAAAAATCTGAATTGAAGATGAGTTTTTTTGAGTTAGCTCACCCTTGCGGGATCATATGGCCCTTTACGAATTTGGTCATTATGATTTGGGTTGATTATCATCCATTATAGTTTGAGTTGATTTTCACTTTAATCCTCATGGTTTTGATTGTTTATTGTATCTCCTCCTCTTAATGGGTTCTTTTTTCATTTTTTTCATCTCTACAAGTAGAAATAATGAATTAATTACAAGTCTCATAAAATCTTAATATCAAAATGTCAAAGTTCGAATTAAAAAAAATCATTATAATCAAAGGGTCACTTAGATGAATTTTTGTAAAGAAATAAAAAATAATTTGGACCACACATTCAATTCAAACAATTGTTCTGATTGAGTGAATTAAACTAACTTGACCCTTTTTTTTCTTTTAATTACTTCTTTGATTTGTTATCTTCATGGATAGAGGAGCCGCTGCAAATAATTTATATCATGGGATTCCATCTTTTTATCTTTTAATTTCCATCCAAAAATTATTATTCATAACAATCAATCAATATAGGATCTCCTCGTTGGTAATACGATACATGATTAATCAATTTATATTAACTTCCTTTTTTTCGCTTCTCCATGAGAACTACTAAGAAATATGTGAGAATGACCTTAGAAAAAAGGGTTGGATGGTAAGATGAAGCTACTCCAAAATTATTGTGAGATGAAAGCAAACTTTTATCTTGATTCTTGATATCAAAATTAGATTTAATTTTCAGTTTCTAACCGAGGTGAACTTCACCTGTTTGATCATAAAAATGATCAAGCTTCGTGTTTGATCCCAATTGGTCTTGGGGATCTCTGATGTCAAACATGGGAGGCAATAATTTTTATTTTTTCTGCAATACTTTTATCACTTTCATTTTCTCGATAAAAGTCGAACTCAACTCAATCCATTCGAACTCAACTCAATCTATACATCTCCCTCTTTAATCACTTCGATACCTCATAAGTCGAAGTTTAATCTTAAACTTGTCCATTTCATAGATAGGTGCTGAAATTAATATCGCTTTACTATTTGTTGCAAGATTCATGCCAATTTGTTGGACACTAATTATATAGAAAATTCTCAAAGAGAAAAAGGGAACAAAAGAGGTAAAATGAACTCTGGTAGAGTTTTTCATTTGCATTTGAAATTCTTGCTATGCCTTATTACATTCAAAAAAGCAAAAAAAATAAAAAAAAAATTTACCCAAATTCCAAACAAAGGAATTGTTCCTATGCCCTAATGAAGATAGGGCACAAACCTAAAAGAAATAAAAAAAAAAAGATATACCTTATAAAATTCATGAATTAAAATAAGATATGTTAATTAAATTAATAAGAGTGTTTCTCTTTATTTGAAAATGTTGTCCCCTTCATTTCTTGTCACCCATTCCAAGTGTGTCCTTCACAGTGTCCACAGCACCTTGAGCCATGTTAACCATCTTCTCTCCAGTCTGCCAAAAAAAAAAAAAAACTTAAAATTATATATTATATAAAAAATTCAACCTTTTAAATATATAATCTTTTAATAGCAAAACTATAAAATAGGAGGCAACTTTCTTCTTTCGACCCTAATGTATGAAGTCAATCTGATTATTTTTAGGAGATGAAAAATAAAGAAAAGAAATGAAGTTTTTTGAAACATGAAGAGATGCAAACTTTTATTTTTATTATTATTATTTTTTTTGTAGTTTAATGAATTAAAAAGGAAAAAATGGAACCTGTTGGAGAAAACCAGCAGCTTCTTTTTGCTGCTGTTGGTGAGGAGAATTAGATTGTTGGTGAGGTTGAGCAGAGAGCTGAGCAGAATTAGAATCTGAAGAATTCAACTCATGTGTTGTGTTTTTTGTGGCCTCCATCCATTCTTCTGTCCTTGCCTGCACCGAGCTCGACTAGTTAAGATATTAATATAACGTCGATCTCCTAACGAGAAAACGAATATGAATATAAAAGAAAGATGAGAGTTTCCCACCTGAGTCTGGCCTTTGGTTTGGCCTGCATTCAAACTTTGCTGAATGTTAGACATATTCTTCTTTCTTCTTCTTTGTTTTGAATACAAGAGAGTTGATAGAACTAGAAAATGTTTTGCTTTTTTGTGTTTTTGGAAGTTTGATGGGGGCAGTTTATATAGGTTTTGAGGTTAAGAATATTGAGGAATTGAATTTGACTCACTCAAAACTCAAAACTTAAGAATAGAGAGAAAAAAGTGGGGAGCCAATTACTTAACCAAAATAAATGGATTTTTTTTGGTTGGTCATTGCTTAACTTTCTGAGATTTATACTATCTGGTTTTGGTAGTTTGTTTTGAATTCTTCAAGATTTGGTTTGATCAAGAACATATATACAATTTAAGTTTGCGTTATGCTTTTGATGATTCACTCAAATTAAGACTTCTCCTTTACAACCATTCAAAGCTCAGAGCTTAATTAATACCATTTTATACAATTTTGAAACATTAAATGTACCTTTTGGCAAACCATTAACCATAATTAAAGTTGTATTTAATGGTAATGGTTCCATTAATAAAATTTTGTGAATTCGAGCACAGTAGAATAAACATATATTAATAACAAAATTGATTTTATTTATGTCAAAATCACTCCCTAAAGTTAAATTAAAAAAAAAACACTAGTTGTTGTATACCATCATTAGTATATAAATGACTTGATAGCTTTTTTTTTTTATTAAATATATTAGCTTCTTGATTTAGGTAAATTCTTAGAGATAAATACTCAATAGTTAAAAAACAAAATTTATAAAAAAAAATATTGTAAAAATCATATATTTTTCTTGAAAATACTTAAAAAGTCTAAAAAGGGTTAAACAAGGTGCAAGATAGAATATTCTTTCAAGTAAAGAACGAGATTCAAGAAATAATCGAGGTAAAAATCATAGATCAAAATCGAAGAAAATAACATTCAAAGATTCAAGAAATACCCAACAAATAAAGCATAAGCGAAACAAAATCGAACAAACAAACATTTAAACATAGTGCAAATTTAAGAAATACTCGGATTAGAAAGCAGAAAGAAAACAAATAGAAAAATAGAACATTCAAATAAAAGGGACGCTACAAGAAAATATTGACCAAAAATCAAAGATTAAAATAGGAAGAAAAAAAAGTAGGAAAAGGAAATCATTTCATTTTTACCTTCAATTTGGTGAGCTCAATGAAATTTTACATTAAACTTTTCAATTCATAAAATTAATAATCATTACAATTTCTATAAAGTTATAGGGTTTGAATGAAAACAAGTAGAGCTAAAAAAAATTTGTGTTAATTTTTGTGAGTTTTGGTTGAATTTATGTACATTGATAGGCCCAAAATTATTATTATTATTTTTTAATGATGAGGAAGTTATTCTAGAGTTAGTATTGCTCAGCTGTCGTTGATTTTTTTTTTTTTTGGTCGTCAACCGCAGTAATTGAATTATCCTCCCCTTTTGAGGGGATTATCTTGACGAAAGGATTAATATTTGATCTATTCTTTTAGTAATAATGGAACAATTCTATTCGTAGGAACAAAAAGAAGCAGATCTGTTCTATACTCGATAAGTATCAATACGCAATGATGGATGAGAATTGATCTTATTTTATAATAATGAATGTATACATATTTGTTCATCATTCAAAAGACTTATTCGCAAGAATTTTCCTTTATTCATTCATTTTATCTTCCTTTTTTATGAACTTATTCAATATATGTCTATGTGTATATGAATCAACAAATCAACAAATAATAAAAATTTCCAAACACTATAAATGGTTAAAATTATTTAATAATTTTTAAAATTTTCAAAATAAATTCCAAAGGAATTACATGAAATTACATGGTAAAAAACGATCTCTTTCCTCAATCCAGTGCTTGATCGCCTGCTCCACCTCATAAAAGAACAAGATTGTTAATGGACTAAAGCCTTAGGTAAAAAAAAGATGCATCATCGCGTCATACGTAGAGAGAATTCGAACGAGCTAAGCTCATGTTGGCAAGATGTGTTGAACAATAAACTTTGACCTTAATTTAAAACATGACAAAGTGACTTTAATTTGTGTCCAAATTATTCTCGAATATGCATTTAGACTATCCTGAGACTTTTTAAAAAAATCTAATATGCAATTTTTAGTATTCATGACTCACCCCCTAACAGAACAAAAGTTTTGTCTATCTAAGATATTGCAAATGAAATTTTTGTTAAATTTTAAACGTATAAAAAGATTAAATGTATAATTTAACTTATATTTCAATTTCATTCTCAATATTTCAAAAACTTCTAATCAAATTTCCATCTAGTAATTACTTTTCTCTTAGATAAAAATATTAGCTTCTTTTACTTAGGTAAAGCTAATTGAAGTCTTTTACTCTATGGTAAAAAACAAACAAAAAAATAAAAAATAAAAAGCCAAAATTCATATAAAAATGCTATGGCGTATAAATTTGCTATTATTTAGGACCAGAAATTGCTATATATATGTACTAAAGAAAATACACTTTTTAACAAGCCCTATTTGCTTCCTGCTTAAACATAGAATTTGCTTCCTTCTTAAAGATAGATACCCTAAGCTAACAAACAAGTCTGTTGATTAAGCACAAGCTGTTCTTGCTGCTTCTTTTCTTCACAACTTCTATGGCCATTCTTCCCTTCTTTCATCTTCTGCACAAATCCCACAAACTTTCTCCAATTCTCTGCCTCAAACAAATGAGGATTCATCCTCAAATATGTGAATGCACACATATCCCTGTTGGCTTCCAGCCTTGACGCCCTTACAATTTGCTCGTGAGCGTACTCGTCATATCGGGGCAATGCATTCTCCCCTGCGAGTGGTACTCGTTCCTTTTGAGTCGCCAAACTCACTTGCCTTACGAGCTTCTCAGGAGCACATAGTGCATCCTGAGGCTGCTCGTGGTCCCGCATCTCAATACAAGTGAAGTTGAAGATGGCACCGTGGCGAGCCAACATCTGTGCGATCGGGATGTAGCCATCGTGGTATCGTGTGTTGTAGTATCCTGCGGTGAGCTCAGGGGCGTGAGACCGAGTCCCATAATGCCAATGGATGCCTGCAATCTTCACCGAGATCTTCACGCCAGAAGATTTGAAGATCGAGCAAGCATGTGAAAGTATTCTCTCCCCATGATCAAGGAGCATTTGGGAGTACCAAGAGAGGAAGAATTCACCATAAGAGGAGTTCCAACCTCCGCCTTCTTTCTTGAAGAACTGGGTGTCCTCCGGCCAGTTGTTGTAGTGACCGGCATCAGTCGGGCCAGTCGAACCCCATCCCGGTTTCCCGGCAGCATCAGCTGCAGCTTTTAAGCTATTCAACATATACTGTATAAAATTGAGAAGAGCAGAGTAGCATAAGAAGATGTAAGAAATACATGTATATGTGTGGTAAAACAGAGTAAAAGGAGATTTTGAATACTTTGTCAAAACATTGGAAGGCTCCAATGCCTGGGAATTTCCATGTTCCATTTTGCTCTGGATATGATGGATAACGAAGCTCTCCAGCTGGTCCCATCCCCACTTGGATTTCCTTTATCAGAAAATAAAAACCAAAATCAGCTCCACCAAATTTTCAGCTTCGGAATTGGAACAAGAAACATAAAAAAGAATCCACTTGATAACATATTCCTTTCTTGTTTCATAATCATTTGGTAAAAGTTGATAGTTAAACTCATTAGTCCGATCAACATGTTATGTCAACTGTCAATGACACACTATCAAATCGAAAAACTAAATAGATAGAACCAAACAAAGTTCAAGATAATTATGGGCCTAAAATCATTATTCATTGGTAAAAGAATACTTAAAATATATGGATTTAAGACGGATTTCACATTTCTCATTAGTCCAATCAACGTATTATGTAAACATTTAAGTACCGTCAGTGATAATAGATCAAATTCAAAAACTAAATACATATACCCAGCAGAGTTCAAGATAATCAAGGTCCTAAAAAAGTAAAAGATGAATAGTTAAAATGTGGAACTGGAAGAAGCTAATTCTCGGTGAAACAATGACAAGGGAAGGAAAATTGGAGAAACTTACGACGATGGTGTTGCCAAGAAGGTGATTGAAGTTTTGTTTGAAGGCACGCATGAAATCGGCGTAACATTGGATTGGAGTTCGGCCCTTTAAGACGGGAAGATTGTCGCATCCCAAAGATACGTATTCGGAATTCCTTCTCCCCCATTGATCCGTGTACGCAAGGTCTGGATCTTTCTCCATCTCCTCCACAAGCCATCTCGGTAATGGAATTCTGCAGAATTTTATGCAATTTCATATTCAGAACAATATCGAATTAGGGTTTAGAAATAGCAAATACTTTCACAATAGAAGTTAGAAACTTATAAGAAAGAAATAGTCGACGTTTATATGATATTTGGAAAAAAAGAAAGAAAGAAACATAACTATATGGGTGCGGCTCAGCTCATTGCTAGTTAATTTATATTTTAAACTTCGTGTGAAACACAATAAGAAAAATCGAATTTATGTAATATTTTTGAAAAGTAAAAATAAATTGCGACACTTTATGAAAAAATCTAGCTTTTATTTTATGAAGTCCCAGTAACTAATTCAATGGTATATATCTTCAATTGAAAATTTAATCCCATCTACATATTGTATTTAAAAAAAAGTCGCAACAAAGTAACATGTATCCAAAATTCACGAAGTTCAAAAACTTTTTTTTTTGACAAATAAATGAATATAGAACCGCTCGAAAAATATCTAATTAGTCTTTATATTTTTTATTATGTTGATTTTAGTGTTGAATTTTTAAAAAGTGATCACGCTTTGATTGTTATTACTGAACGACGTCATTCTTTGTGGCAACCACGGGAGCCTGAATCGAATATCCAATTGTTTCGATTTGACCCCTTTAATTTTTGTTTGCAATATTTCAATACAAATTTTATATGCAACAAAAACATTTTAATATAAAATTATCTTTACATTTCAAAAAATATGTTAGATGTAACATACTGTATAATATATTAAATGTACGTGTTAAAATTGTGATAGGAACAAATAAAACCACTAAAAGATCAGTTTTAAGTTGGACCAAAACTAGAAATAAACATTCGGACCAATTTTAGCCTAAAATTAGAGAGGATAACTGGATAAGTACTAAAATTAAAATTGAAATCAAACGGAAAAGTGGAGGAGAAGGAAGAAAATTACGTGCAGGAATCGCCGACGTTTCCCCCGCAGCGATGGAACGACATGACGGCCTGAACTTTCAGTCCGTACTTCACCGCCATCTCCAGAAGCTCCTTATAACCGCCAAAATTGTACTCGCCGGCCGCCGTCTTCTCCACCAATCCCCACCACACGTCCACCATCACCCCCTCAACTCCGGCGCCTTTCACCGCCTGAAAACTCGCCTCCATCGCCTTCCTCCTGTTCACCGCATGCCCCATCGTCACACTATCCAACGGCATCATCACAAACACCGGCACTCCCCTCCCCTCCTTAATTTCCGCCGCCGCCTCCCCCGCCGCCGCCGCCGCCGAGAATTTTTGCCGGAATCTCCGTGACGACGACGACGACAATACGATTACATCCTCTCTTTCTGGATTCTGAACCCTAGATCGCCGGATCGCCGCCACGGGAAACGCCCTCCCCACCGCCGCCGCCGCAGCCGCCGGAATCTTCGATTGAGGCGGATGATCGGCGCCTTTCGCCGCCGGAAACAGAGTACGGATCTGATGTACTGTACCGAGCGCCATTCTTTAGCAGATATTTTACTCCGGTGAGAATTTATAGATTCAGGTTTTTTATTTGAATATGTAATTGGAATTGGATTAGGATTTAGGAGACGCGCTATTTATAGAGTTCACAACCAACGGATCGGGAAACGACCACAATTTTTGTCTTCCTTGCCATTGGGCCACGTGGTAGCACACGTGGATTCTTAATAAAAAATATTTGTTAAACTGTTTATATATTCTTTTTAATTCTGGCCGTACTCGTGGTTTAATTCGAAAGAAATATTTAAATATTTAGGTAGCGTTTGGCATAACGGAAAATAGAAACGGGATGAAACTCCATAGTTATAATAATAATTGAATACTAAATTAGATATTAGTCCATTCAATTTCTTGTACGAATTTAAATAATTTTTTAAAATATTATTTTTATTCTTTTCAAAAAAATTTCAATATTATTCACATTCGATTTAAGCTTACATTTTTTTTGTCTTAAAATTAAATCTAAAAAGGTTTTCTGCTAATAAAAATATTATCAATTTTTTTATACAGGATATACTTTTTCTTATCTTGTGTTAGATTATGTTCGTATTCTTTAACACACCGTTATATAAAAAATATATATTTTTAAAACATTCACAATTTTCATTCTATCTATTCATATTCTTTTGGAGTAAACAACGAAATAGCTTCAATTAGAACAATTTTCAAAATGACATATAAGTAAATTTGGCCCGATTTAACATTTGTATGGCTTCTATGACCTTTGTCACTAAAAAATTTATTTGTATGAAGTCTAAATATTTTAAAGGTGAGTTTGACGTACCTTCTAATTTAATAACTTTTTAAAATATATATTTTTCTTCAAATACTTACGTGTTTTTATTACATTTTATTAAAAGTTATTTCAATTACGAATTTATTTGGTTGCACTATACTTTTAAATAATTCTTCGAAAAATCATTTTAAACTAACTTAATGTAAAAGTAATATTTTTTTATTATCAAATATTTTAAATTAATATATATATGTTTGGAGCAACATCTTGGCCAGATGAGACATGAGGGCCTACAAGGTGTGTTCATTGGAGTTAGCCCCAAAATTGACCATTCTGAGTATAATATCCATATATGTAATTTGAGTTGGAAGTAGAATATTTGTCTTTCATGTCAAATAATAATTTGCTGATTACCATTTTACCCCCGGAGTTTATTCCAATTTAATCCATATACTTTTAAATCTCCTAAGTTTAATTTATATATTTTCAATATTAGTAAGCATAGTTAATTGAAGTTAATTTTGTTATCTAACTTCGACAAGAATAAAAATTACAACAATTTACCTTTAAATTTTAAAGACTAATGTGATCAGCATAATTAATAGTATAAATGTGTGTTATTATATGACTACGGAGCTTCTTTCATACAAAATGAGCAATGCACATATCTACGATCACTTTCTTCCTACCCAAAATATTCTCAATTTCTAGAGGGATATGATGGTTGACAGGAGAAGATACTAGTTCTTAAAAAAAAACAGTGGGCTAATTTTAAGAGTCGACTAATTTTGAACAATTGAAAATACAAAATCTAAAATAGAACCAGTCTCAAATTACACAGAAAAATTGTTTGGTCTGATAATAATGTCTGCCTATCCCATTTATCTATTGACATATTATTTTATTTTGTGGGCTTCGTACCATTATTAAAGATTCTAGATACGACAACAAATGAAATTTTTCATACCAACGTAGCATTTCAAAATGATATTTTAATCTAAAATTTATTAATTATACCATAACTAATAGATTAATCGGTGAATTCTTGAAGATTGGCTGAAATTTTTTCAATTAGCTTAAAACAAAATTAAAAGAAAGAAAGAATAAAACCACATAATAAATGACAAGTGGATAGGACTTAGGAGAGAGATGGGGCAAAGAAGGCCGTAGGAGGTTTGGTTTCTGTCTTTCCGATGTGTCGTCTCGGGATCGAGCCTGTCAGAGAAACGCGGGATGGCAGTGGACGCGTGGCGCCACGTAAGGCGGGATCCGGACGCATAACGAGTCGCCTGGTATTGGGTCCACGTGGAAGATTCAATGGCTGCCCTTGATCCATTCAATTAGTGCCACGTCATCAGCCTACCCTAAAAAAAACTTGATTCTAAACCAATTAAATCCTTTTCCAGTTGGGTTTTAATAAGTTTTTTTTTTTAATTTTTGTATATAATAAATTTTCAATATTGTATCTAATAGATCTCTAATTCATAAGACACTAGTTCTAGTGTGGAAGGATTTGTTGGATATCAAAATTAAAAGTTATTTTTAAATTTTTTTAAATACTTTTTAAGTTATTATTAAGGAGAAGTCTACGGAAGCATATAATTTAAACATTTTTTTATCTTTCTAAATCCAACAAAGTTGTTGTTCCTCATCGCATGAACTTTTCACCATAAAAATTATTTTAGGTGATGGAGCAATGTAGGGTTCGTTTGGTAACGTTTGAGTTTCTTGTTTCCATTTCCAATTTGTTCTAAAACATAAATGAAAAGATTGTTTATCATATTTATTCATAGATGTTGGAACCATGCAATTCATTTTTCTTTAATTAAAAATGAAAAAACAGAAACAAGAACATTATCAAACGACACCGTAGTTGACAGTTTTTTAAAGAGAAATGTTTTGACCAAAATATTAAGAGGGGCATCCATCCATTGAATATTTATTCACATTTTCAAATCTTCTTTATTGACATTTCTAGATGACTTTTTTTAGAATTTATCTTTAAACATTTGCTTACTCACGTGAGCTTTTATGGAGCTCCCCGTTCATTCAATTCAATATTAGGGAGGAAGAAAGAATTTTTCTAAGAGGAGTGAGATACATCTTTTAATAAGGAATAAAAAAAATTTATCCAGGGTTTAATATTTTTAAAATTAAAAGTTTGTAAATACAATTGTAATAATATATATATATATATATATATATATATATTTTGCAAAGGAATTGTAATAATATTTATAGTTTAAGGGTTGGTTTGTGCAGAATTTATCTAAAATAAAATATTAATTTGTTGTGTTAGGTTAGGTGAATCACGAAACAATTCACTCAATAGTTAGGAAACTTTTCTAAATTTAAATGAAATGAAATGTCCTTTTAACCCATGAAAAGTTGTATGATAATATTATTGACTTAATTATTAATTTATTTTGTGTGGCTTAGGGGTTTTTTTTTTTTTTTTTGGAAAAAATTGTGTGGCTTTGTTAAAGTCTGTTACTTTACTTAACGTATTGCCAAGAGCTTGTTTAACGTCCCGCAATGGCACAACAAAGCTGTCTTTTCTTCCAATCCAAGACTTTCCTTTTCTTTCAAAATATAAATATTTTAGGACAATTGGAATCCATAGCCTAAATTGGAGATAGAGAAATTATTTTTCACATAATGAGTTTTTGTTGGTGTCAAAATTAGATGTGAAATTAAGCAATTATCATTGAAGTATGAAACAGTGTAAAAAGCTATATCGAGATTGTTGTGAAATCGAAGACTGTCAGGATATAATTGCAAGATGAGATTTTTTTATTTTAGTACAACAAATAGTTTATGTATTTATTGCGTTGCAAAATGAGATTTCGAGATGATTGAGTAATTATATTATGTTTATCTTATGAGGGTACGTGGATTGAAATTTTAGATTGCATGTGATAATATTTAGTTTAGGTGGTGGTTGTTGTTGTTTTTTTCTTTTTTTAATTTTGTTGAATTCAATTTGAAAACCATATGGTATTTTGTTTTAGTCAATACACTTACATTTTCAAAACATTAATATATAGCTTTGGGGCAATGGTCTTTTTCCTTTAGGATACAATTGATCCAATTTCAATCCTTTTTTTTTTTTTTGGTATCATTCACATTGTTTTGGATATTTATTTCTTTTTTCGGTTATAAGAGTTGAAAATTGAAAGAGGAATTAGATGAAAACGATTGTTGTGTCGTGGTTGAACCAATGCCTTGAAAGCAATTTCGGCACGACCATGGCGCTAAATCGTATGTATATCGGTTGCTCCCAAGGTTAACACAACTCCAAACTCAAGCATGCACTCGTCGGAGCCAAATGGAATCGACGAACACGCTCAGAAATTCTACCAAAAACTCATAATCTTCTTACTGCATAAAAAAGCTTGATTTAGTTTAAAAAGCGAAAAGAAAAAAAAGTTTTAACTTTATTAATTAAAACGTTACAAAATAAAATTAATTAATTAATTAAAACGTTAAATAATTAATTTTGTAGCGTTCAAATAATTAAAAAGAAATAAAACGTCTTTTCAAAACAGAGTTATTTATTGTACCTGTTGTCAATACACTCTATCATTCCCAACCATAACAAAAAGTTTGAGAAGAATAAAAGATAATATAGCATAATGTAAAAGATATTTAAGATGATATTAAGTTAGCTTGCTTAGAGTTTGACTATTCATACTCTTATTTGTTCTAATTTATAGAGAATAGTAATAATTTAGGGTGACTATAGATCTATTATAATTAAAATAAAATATTACAAAAATAACGACTAAAACGTACAATGATACTTGTTCTTAATCTTTTAAGTTGAAGATTCAACCTTGCATCTTGCATTGTTGTATTAAAAAAATAGCAAAATATAAGACATAAATTAATTATTGATTGTTACGTTAGTACAATAATATTTAGATTACTTCAGCAATTACAACAGGAAATAAAAATATATAGATTACTAATATGAAAGTAAATGAAGAATGATTTTTTTTAACAAATATTATTACTATTATAATTCTTTTAAAAAATACCAAATTTAAGTAACTTTATATAAAAATACATTATCTATAATGTCACATTAACTCAACTAAAACTAATTTAATCGACATATCTTACCAATATTAAAAATAATATATATCATGTTGGTGTTTTATTAAAAATTTTATAATGATAAATAATACTAAATAGAAACATAATAAAAAATTTACTACATATTTCCAACTTCTAAATTTAGAACCTAAATAGATACAAAGTTCAAAAATTCAAAAGCTAACTTTATAATTTAACTTATTTGTTTTAT